CCGCGCCCATTTCGGCGCCTCCTTGCGCGGATCGCGCGCCCATGAGGAGCTCCTAGCGTGGCCCTTGTGGGTCGCTCGACGCCAATGCGCTGTTTTCGGCGCGCCCGCCCCGCGGACGCTGCCCCAGCATAAGCGCCCGTTGCCCCTTCGGAAGAACTCGCGCGCTGGATGCGCGCCCATGTCGTCGCGCCCACGAAGCGCATCGCGCGCGACTAGGCGCTCCATCGATGGGCCGCGAGGAGGAATTCGCACGGCAGCGCCGCGCCCACTGCGGCGCGTTAGCGACGTGCACCGCGCCCTCTGGAAAGGTCCATCTACAACCCCATCGGAGGGATCCGCAACTCGTCTGCGCGCCCATTTCGGCGCACCGTTCGCGCGAATCGCGCCGAAGGAGCCGACTGCTGACGATTTCGCATTTGGCGAGGGTAATATGATGATACCAAACGATCCCGAAGCGCACAACAATGGTAGACATGGCCGTGACGACACGGGCCTCGTTATGTCAACGGCATTTGCGGTTTGGGGTGTCCCCGAAACTAATGTACATTTCGTCCCCGGTTGACATTAGAATTGGCGCTATGTCAACCGAGATTGTTTCTCTTCGACACTAAGTCGTGCCTTATGTCTACGCGTCTCGGGGTGATAGACATTACTTGTTCCCTTGTGTTTACGATTGTCGGTGTAGACATTAGATGGGGTGCGCCTGGTTTTCGCTTATGTCTATAGACAGGTGTCTGTGTCGACTTGTGGTTGCGGCCTTGCGCGTAGACGTAAGTGGGGCGTTGTTTCGCCGATCTTGTCTAGAAGCAAGTGGTTGGCTTGGAGTGGGGTTCTGGCCCTGCTTCATACTGACCCGTTGGGCAGGTGGTCGCAGTGGCACTAGGGGGAAGCGGAGCGCGCCGAAGAAATTCGGGACAGGGGCGGGATATAATGGAAGTGCGACAGGGAGGCTGGCAAATCACGATGGACGGAAGGCGGAGGGAAGGTGATGTGCGGGGGGAAGGCAAGGGCTCCAGGAGGCAATGTGGAAATTTGGAAGCTGCCACAATGGGCACATGGCGTGGGGAAGGGGGCGAGGTGGGAGAAGGCAGGGGGTGAACGACACTGGATTGTGGAACGTGGAGGGCGGAATGAAAGATGGCGGCGGCGTAGGGGGACGGGAGGGGGCGCCGCGAGGGGAGGGGACAGAGGCGGAGGAAGTGTTGTTCGGGAGGGGGGGGGGGGGAGAGGGGAGGGGGGGGGGTTGAATGGGGACGGGGGAGGAGGGAGGAACACATTGAACGTGGAAGGCGGAGGGATGACGAGCGGGGGAGCGCGGGGGGGGGGATGGGTCAATATGAAATTGGGAAACGGAAAGAAGGATGCAGGTTGATGCGGGGGGGGGGCGGGGGTGGCGAGGGGAAAACAGAACAACGAGCGCGGCGTTTTGGCATCAGTGGTATCAGCGTGGGTCGCCTTCCTCACCCTCTTCGCCCTTGTCCGTGCCAGCATTGCTCCTCTTGCTGTAACCCCCATCCATGCCCCGCCGAGGGCGCGTTTCTATCGTTTCCCCCTCCGCTCGGCTCCAGCGCCGAAGTATCTTTAGGCGCTTAAAAGTCTATGCCAGCGTTGTGCGTGTACCTCCCTATAGAAGATACCCCCCAAATGACAGCCAGCCCCCGCCATCTCCTGGGCGAATCCATATGTTGAAGGAAACGAGCGCACTGAGTGGAACGTCCGCCGCAGCCATCCGAGCAGGTTGAGAAGCACCGCCCACAGCAACAACCTGCCGAGCAGCGCGAGAGCAAAATGCCCGCACGCGACCAGCGGACTCGCGAGCTCGAGCAATCGCGGCTGCGGTAAACCGCGGCTGCTGCTGCTCTTGCTGCTGCTGCCGTTGATGCCGCCGCTGTTGATGCTGCTGATGTCGTTGCTGCTGAGGCTGATGCTTGCGCTGCTGCTTCCGCTGCCGCCGATGCTTATGATGTTGCTACTGCTTCTGAGTGGGTACGATGACGGAGGAGCCTCTGGAAAAGACTTGCCCAGACCTTTGTTTTAGGACCATGTCAGGACCTTTTCATGACCATGTCAGGGCCCCCCCAGGGACTCCTCAGGAACCTCTCGTGAGCCTCTCAAGAGCAGGTGAACATCCTGCTAGTAGTGCGCATTACCGGAATCGCCGGTGGCGTAGCTACTATTACTCCTCCTTGTTCCTCCTTACTTTTGCTCCCTTCTGTCCATCGCCATTCTGGCAAGCCGACCGCCCTGCGCGCCCCGAGTTGCAGCTGGCGTCCGAACGTGTTGCATGCCCCTACCTACAACGCCGTAGTATGTTCACAAGTGGCTTCCCTACCTGTCGGCCTCTTCCCGTCGACCAGATTTTCGTCCCAGGGGGCTGTCTGGTCCCAAAGGGGCCCGGAAATGTTCCTTGGTGCCGAGAGCGTAGAAAAAAACGCGGGCCTGCTTCGAACAAAACCACTGGAGGTTTGGGCTGATACTCCCGAGAAGACCTGGCCCCTGGACTATCAGCCCGGCGACGCACGTCGAGGCCCCTGGGCCCGACACCGAGGCCCCTGGGCCCAGGAGGAGGAAGAGGAGGAGGAGGAGGAGGAGGAGGAGGAAGACGGGGAGGAGGAGGAGGAGGAGGAGGAGGAGGAGGAGGAGGAGGAGGAGGAGGAGCAGGAGGAGGAGGAGGAGGAGGAGGAGGAGGAGGGGGAGGATAATGAGGAGAAAAGGGAGGTGGAGGAGGAGGAGGAGGAGGAGGAGGAGGAGGAGGAGGGACGAGGAGGAGCTCAGCTTGCCGGTCTGACTCACCGAGGCCCCCCGGTCCCGACAACGGGCCCCCGCGGGCCAAGCTCGAGGAACAACACCGCCAGGACCGAAGGGACGAGATGTCGCCGGAGATCTAGGGCCCGCCCCCCCTCGGGAGCCTCGAGACGGGGGTCAATGCAAACGGGGGTCAGCCAGGGCGCCGGATCCTGCAGGATCCTGCGAAGACCCCCTCTGGCTGACCCGGGTTAGCGAGCCGCTCGTGGCCGCGAGGCGGCCGCGCATATTGGCTGACCCAGGTTTGCGAAGATCTGCGTTGCAGTTTTTTGTTCCTGCATTTCAGTTTTTGGTTTCCTGCTGACCCGGGTCTGGATTGACCCGGGTCAGAAGATTCCCGACCCCCGCCCCCCCCTTGTTCGCCCGACCAGGCCCAGACATGATGGCGTCGTTAAAAAATCAGGACGGGCGGGTTTGGGGTATTTTCGCCCTCTAGAGGTCCTCGCCGGGCCTCGGGGCCGTCAAAAAACGACTCGGGACGAAAAAACAGTCCCGGGGAAAAGGTCGGGACTTGCGGGGACGCCGTCCTGAAAAAATCAGGACGTCGCATGTCTGGGGGGGGGGGGGGGGGGGTTGCTCGCCGGTCCCCCAGACAGGGGTGAGCACCACGCCGCGTGGCGAGCCGGTGGGGACCTCGGGGTCACCGCACGGCTTGGGGGACGCGGGTCCTTCTCCGACGACGCCTCGGGCGACCAGGGCCTGCAGGGGCCCAGAAGCCGTGCGGTAACGCACCCTGGGTGGAGGTCTCTGCGGGGTTCGAGGTCGCCGCCGGGTCTGTCACCCCACGGTGTTGGGGCCCCCAAGCTTGGAGGCGGCCAGGGAGTCCGAACCGGATGGGCCTCCTCCTCCTCCTCGTCCTCCTCCCCCTCCTCCTCGTCCTCCTCCTCCTCCTCCTCCTCCTCCTCCTCCCCCTCCTCCTCCTCCCGATTCGGCCGAAAGGGGGGCGGAGGAGGCCAAGTCCGCCGCCCAGAAGCGGTGCCTGGGCCTCGAGCGTCCAGGGTTCGCTAGAGGGACTGGTCTCTCCCCCCCCCAAAAAAAGCGCAGGAGGGGAAAAACACACAGACACAATTAATCGTCGATTCCCCAGAAAATATGGGAAAATATGGGAAGTGGGGGGGAAGGCAAAAACCCAGAAAATATGAAAAAATATGGGGAATGTTTTTATTTGTGTGTATTTGTGTGTGTGTGTGTGTGTGTGTGTGTGTGTGTGTGTGTGTGTGTGTGTGTGTGTGTGTGTGTGTGTGTGTGTGTGTGTGTGTGTGTGTGTGTGTGTGTGTGTGTGTGTGTGTGTGTGTGTGTGTGTGTGTGTGTGTGTGTGTGTGTGTGTGTGTGTGTGTGTGTGTGTGTGTGTGTGTGTGTGTGTGTGTGTGTGTGTGTGTGTGTGTGTGTGTGTGTGTGTGTGTGTGTGTGTCCCAGGGCCCCTTCAAAAGCTTCCGAAGCCCTCCGAAAAGCGTCCCGGCACCATTCCTGTTAGGGTTTCGGGAGGGTTTCGGGAGGGTTTCGGCTGTTGCGAAAGGAAACCAGTCCTTAGCAAAGAATGAACTCTCCAACCCTGGACCCCTCCGGGGATCCATCTTGGGCAGAGTTTCTCCCCGAATCCGTGTGTGACGGTCCCAGACACGAACACGGTTCCCAGAGACGGAGAAAGGCAACACACACATTCTCGAGCGAACCTCGCCCCCAACCTTCGTGCTGGCCAGATCCAGTGCTGGGCCACCTGACCCTTCGCCCGCTGCAAGTTGATATCCCCCCCGTCGGTGGCATGGCCGAGCTGCGTCCCCATGCTCCGTGCGCTGATTGCCGCCGCCTCGCTGGCTCCTGCGGGGACGGCACGGAGAAGGAGGGGAGAGTGGGGTGAAAGGGAGGAGAGCGGAGGGAGGGAGGGAGGGTGCGCGGGCGAGAGATGTGAGGCAAGAGGGATTTGCCCGTTGACCCGTGCCATCCTTCACTCACGCGGGGCTGCAATGCCTTCGAGCGCTCGAGATTGCTGATGGTCCTTTCTGTTGTTTCTCCTCCGTCATCGCCTCCTCTTCCTCGCCATGGTTCTATCCTCCTTGTCCTGAACATCATGTTCATCCCCTCCTTTAATTAATCACCCTCGTCCTCCTGCGCCTCCTCATCATCATCCTACATCTCCTCTCCTGCTATGTTCCTCTTCCTCTTCTTGCTCCCACAGCGGCCATGACGGCTGGCAGGAGAGGACGGACTTCGAGAACGCGGAGGCAGAGATGACCCAGGCCATCGAGGCACTTTCCAAGGCACTCCAGGTGCGCGGGGTTGGGTAAGAGAAGGAGGGGGTACTCCTCCGCATCCTCAATGTCTCCCTCTCTCTCTCTCTCTCTGTCTTTCTCCCTCTGCCTCATCCTAATCATGATCAGCATCTGCACCCGTTCCCTTATGCCTCCTCATTCTCTTCTCTTCTCTCCCCCTTTCTTTTCCCCCTTCGTCCTGATCGCGGACTGCAGCCCTTGCGACGCAGCCTTTCCCCCTTCCTCTTGATCCTTTGCTTCTTCCGCATCGGCGCGCGCCGCGCTCTTGCCCGGCCCTGAACACAGAGCACGTCCAGGTAGTGTGGCCGCTCAGAAGGCAAGGCAGCCGCCAGAGCGGCCTCCCAGCCTTTTGGTTTTCCCCCCTTTGGTTTTCCTTTTGGTCATCCCCCATCAGCACTCCTCCGACTCCGTGGGCGGCTCCGGGGCGCCCCGAGGAGGAGGAGGAGGAGGAGGAGGAGGAGGAGGAGGAGGAGGAGGAGGAGGAGGAGGAGGAGGAGGAGGGGTGGGAGGAGGAGGAGGAGGAGGAGGAGGAGGAGGAGGAGAAGGAGGAGGGGTGGGAGGAGGAGGAGGAGGAGGAGGGCTCCCTCCTGCTTGTCTTGCTCCGAGGTCCTCAGGGCTGCCACCGCGGACCACACGACGGGCGTGCTGGCAGAGGTCAGAGTCCAGGCTGGTCTGCTCTCATTCCTCAACCATTTTGATTCAAGCCACTGTATCCCAAGAATCCAAATGGTATGATCCTTATTATGCGGGTGCGCGGATGCCAGATCTGTAATGCACCATGGCCTCCCTCCTTCCTGTTCGCCATGCCGTCAGCCCCATCCCCGCTGCCACTGCCGCCTTCCTCTGTGCGGCCACGCTTATGCGTTTGTGGTGGAGAATTCGATGGCAAGGCTTAGGCGAGGATCCTGTGAACAACGGGAACGCTCGTATGGCTCGGGAAGACGAGGCGTGCGTGGAACGGTGCGAGGCAGCCACCGCGCGGGCGGGCGGGCGGACGAGGCGGGCGGGCGCGCGGGCGGGCGGGCGGACGAGGCGGGCGGTTGCGCAAGCGAGCGGTTGCGCTGGCGGTCGCGCGGGCGGGCGAGCCGGCGGGCCCCCGGGCGGGCGGGCGGGCGCGCGGGCGGACGAGCGAGCGGTGCGGGTGCCGCCGCCGTGATTTCTTCTCAGCGATCCCAGAGAATGCCCAGTGTGGCTTTCAATGGCAAAAGCTCCCCTCTGGGGCTCGCAAGCTGTTGTCTGCAAGGGGAAGTTTTGGGGTTCAGTCTGCGCTGTTGGCCCCAGGTTGCAACCACAGCGCTTCCCGCCGGCTACCGTTTCGCAAGTTATTCAAAACAATCGCGCTCTCGCGCGGGACATCTTCACTGTGTGCGCAGGAATCGCGCTGCCTCGTGGGGCTTCCTCGCAATTTATTCAGACGCCGCGCCCTCGACGATCAGGAATCACGCTCTCGCTCTGGCCTTTCTCACGATGTACTTGTGAATCGCGTTATCATTCGAGACATCCTCGCGATTCGCGCAGAGATTACGCAATCCGCCTGCTCGACGTGGCCGCCTGGGCCCGCCTCCCCGACCCGCCTGTTAGGGTCGACCCACCCGATCAGTCCGTGTGGTTCTGCCATTTGTTTTCTGCTCATAGCCCCCCTCCTGCTAATCTCTCTCGTGCTCCATCCTTCCCCCCCTTCCATACGTCCTCTCTTCCCGTGTTTTACTGGCTGCTCGCGCGAAATGCAAGTGACAGGTAAAGAAAGTATGCCCCCCAAACGGTACGGTTGAACACGAAGAGGGCGGGCGCCGACGGTTTGGCATATACGTGTTGAATGGCACGCGGGCAGATAGGAACGAACAATATTAAAGGATTGTTGAATTTGTACGTCTGAAGAATATATGGTGTTGATCCCCACCGGTGCACCTTGTGGTTTTCATTAAAGCACTTGTCCTGGGGCCTGCACCCTGTTTTTTTACAAGGGAAAGTCTTCCTCCTCAAAGTGCGCCCCTGGCCCCCTGTTTACAAGAACGCCAACAACTACAGTTATTTCAATACTCTTCGATCATATCTGCTCGCGTGCCATTCAACACGTTTATCCCAAGCCCTCAGTACCCGTTCTTTCCGTCTTCAATCGTACCCCCATCGGGGTATATCTTCCGCATTGAGTGGAGTTCCTAGGGAAGAGAGGACGGCTGGAAGGGGGAGAGAGAGATGGAGCACGAGAAAAATTAGCGTGAGAGGGGGATGGGAGAAGAAAACACGTGGCAGAACCAGACGGGCACATCGGGCGGGCAGACCGTAGCGGGCGGGTCGGGAAGGCGGGCCCAGGCGGCCAAGTCGAGCAGGCGGGTTGCTGAAGCGTGAGTCTTGCATGAATCGCAAGGCAGTCTCGAGCGATATCGCGATCCCCAAGTGAATTGTGAGAAAAGGCCAAAGCGAGAGCTTGATTCCTGAGTGTCGAGGGTTCGATTCCTGTATACATTGTGACGTCGCTCCGCTCGAGAACGCGATTCGTGAATACATCGTGAGGAAGTATCAGGCGGGAGCCGCTGTTAGTGTAAACCTGGGGCCGACAACATAATTCTGAGACTTGGAAAACTTTCTCAGAAAAAGAACAGGGTGCGAGCCCCGGGATAGGCATTTCAATTGAAATAAATACCATGTGGCCCGGGGGGGAGATCAATCATAGATATCATTCAGGGGTGGGGGGTCACTAATAACAACCACCACCACAACCTATACCGCAACAGCGGCAACAGTAATTCTAACACTGTCCGCTCTTACCTGCTCCCGAAACCCTCGGTGCCCGCCCTCTTCGTTTTCCAGCGTACCCCCCTGGGGGTCCATCTTCTTCACCAGCCGCACGTGATTTGTGCAGCCCCTGGAACAGGGAAGGAAAGAAAGAGAGGACGGAGGGAAAGGGGAGGGAGATGGATATACCACGGGATTAGCAGGATGGGGTCTATGAGCAGAAAATATGTGGCAAAACCCGACGAGAGCAACAACAACAACAACGACAACAGCAGCAGCTCAACAAGACAACATCAGCAAAACCACACGACATCAACAGCAGCAACACCAGACTGCAGCAGCATCAACAGCAACAGCAGCAACAACAACAGTCATTATAATACTGTTCGCTCCTATCTGCCCGCATGCAATTCAGAACATGCATCCGAAACCCTCGGTACCCGCCTGTTTCGTCTTCGATCATACCTCTCTGGGGGTTATATCTTTCTAGCTTCCGCGCGCATTGAGTGCACCCTCGAAGGAAGGAAAGAGAGACGGATGGAAGGGGGAGGGAGAAAGATAGAGCTCGGGAGAGATTCGCCAGGGGGTGGCTGAGAACAGCAGGTGCGTGGTAGAACCAGACGGGCAGATCGGGAGGCCAGACCCTAACCGACGGGTCGGGAAGGCGGGCCTAGGCGGCCACGTCGAGCGGGCGGGTTGTTGAAGCGTGAGTCCTGCGTGAATCGCAAGGAACCCTCCAGCAATAACGCAATTTCCAATTTCCATGTATAGTATTAGAAAGCTGAATCGAGAGTGTGGTTACCGAGTGTCGAGGGCGCGGCGTTTGAATACATTGCGAAGAAGTTCCACGCGAGCGCGGGACTCCTGCATATAAAGTATGAGGATGTCCCACGCGAAAGCGCGATTGTGGAATACAGTGTGAAGATGTATGAGGCGGAGCCGTTGTTGTGGTAAATTGGGGGCCAGGGGCACAGTTCGAGCATGACAGTTCTCTTTCGTAGAAAACAGGGTGCGAGCCCCGAACAGGGGGCAGTTCAATTGAAACAACATAGTGCGCCGGTGGGGGGATAAACGAACGTTATTCTTCAAGAGTGGGAGTTCATCCATAACAGCAGCAACTTCATCATGTCAAAAGTGTTCGCTCTTATCTGCTCGCGTACCACTCAACACGCATATCTTCCAAGCCTGGCAGGTGCAGTTGGCGCAGCCCCTAGGATAAAGGAGGGAGGGGGGGAGTGAAGAGACAAGGGGGAGGGAAAAGGGTGGAGCACGAGAGAGATTTGCGGGAACAGGATTCGGGAGCCTGGGTAGTCGAAGGCCAGACTGTCAGATTGGATTGGGACCCACGGGCCAATCTGGCCTGGCCAAACTGGATGATTTGGGTTATTCGCCAGACTGGATTCGCGTTGGCTCCCTCGCCAGATTGCCCCCGTTTGCCAGATTGGGCCTGCCAGATTGGCGTCGACTACCCAGGGAGCACGAACGCGAGCGGCAGATCCAGACGGCCATGTCGGGCGTGCGGACACTCACGGGCGGGTCTGGCGGGCGGGCCCAGGCGGCCAGGTCGAGCGGGCGGGTCGCTCGCTGAAGCGTCGGCCCATCGTGACGGAAGTCTCGAGGGACAACGCGATTCCCGAACAGATCGCGAAACAAGTCAAAGCGAGAGCGTGATTCCTGATTGTCGAGGGCGCGGCATGTGAACACATGGCGAGGAAGTCCCGTGCGAGAAAGCGCGATTCCTGCACAAGTTGTGGGCACGTCCCGCGCGAAAACGCGATGTTGAGATACAGTGTGAGGAAGTATCGGGCGGGAGCCGCCGTTTTTGCAAACGGAGGCCGGAGCTTTGAACAAAAAGCCGGGTGCGAGCCCCGATGGGGACACTTCAAATGAAAACAGAATGTCCACCAGTCGGGGGGATCAGCACTGACATTTTAACAAGAACAACAGCAATCATTTGAAGACTCTTCGCTCTGATCTTTTTGCGTGCCATCCAATCCTCGGCGCCCGTCCCCGTCGTCTTCGATCGCAACCCCTTGAGGGTACATCTTCCTTACCTGTCAAGCGCATTCAGTGCATCCCCTAGTACAGGAGAAGAGATGACGGGTGGAAGAGGGGGGAGGAGGATGGAGCACGAGCAAAACCAGCAGGATGGGGGCAAGGAGCTGAAAACAAATCGTAAAATCAGACGGGCAGATCGGGAGGGCAGACCCATAGCGGGCGGATCGAGGAGGCGGGCGTCAGCGGCCAGGTCGACCAGGCGGGTTGCTGAAGCGTGGGTCCTGCATGGATCGCGAGATAGTCTCGAGCGATAGCGCGATCCCCAAGTGAACCGTGAGAAAGGCCAAAGCGAGAGCTTGATTCCCGAGTGCCTAGGGCGCATCGTCTGAAGAAATTGCGCGGAAGTCCCACGCGAGAGCGCGAGCCCTACATAAATTGTGAGGAAGTCCCGCGCGAAGGCGCGATTCTTCAATATTTGGTGAGGAAGTCTCAGGCGGGAGCCTTGGCTGTTATAAACCAGGGGCCAACAACCCAATTCTGAGATCCAAAACTTCTCCTGATAAAAACCGAGTGCGGCCGCGGGAAGGACACTTCAAATGAAAAGCACAAAGTGCCCTTGAGGGGGGGGGTCAAACATATTTATTATTCAGGGGTGAGTTTTCAATAACAAAACAGCAACAACAACAACCGCAACCATGCTATGACGGTCGCTGTTATACGCGTGCGTGTCAATCAACATGTGTTTCCCGAGCCCTGGGTACCCGCCCTCTTCGTCCTCGATCGTGGACCTTTTTCAGTGGATTTTTGTGTCCCGCCACGTATAATTGGCGCAGCTTTTTTTATTGCACAGCAGCAGTGGACAAAAGAGGAGAGCGAGGAGGAGGGGAGTAGGGGAAAGGAGGCAGGAGGGAACGGGAACGAGAGGGGCAGGG